GTGTTCCCTCCTGTTAAACGAAGAAACATTTCACTCATGGGCATATTTCTGGCATCACTGCACATTTGAGCTGATGGGGACTGTGCAAGGCTGTTATTTTAACAACTTACCAAAGAGGCTCACAGAACAGGCTGGTGCCTTCTGCTTGGACTGCTTGTCAGAAGGCACCAGGGGCTTGGGATCAGGCTGCCCCCCTGCAGGGCCGAGGGCCAAGGAGCTGTGGTGGCCCTTTGGCCGCTCTGGCCCTGCCGGGAGCGGAGCAGTGCAGAGGCCGGGACTCCCACGCGCTGCTCCCGCCCTCCCCGAGCTGGGAATGCGACCTCTCGGCGGCAGCAATGTCACCGCTGGCTGCTGGGACGCCAGGCTGACAGAACAATCGATGCCGGGCTGCTTTGGTCGATGTGAATTTACAAATGAACTTCTGTCGGGAGAGGCATTACTGGTGTGAACAGCCTCTGGTCTCAGCAGTTTCTGAGAAGGGGGACAGGCACATCAAATGCACCAGCACACAGGTGCTGCAGGTGAGGAGAAGCATTTTGGCCCCAGGGTGAGCTCGTGGGTCTCCACATCCTGAGATAACACTGCTGCTGCAGAGGAAGGGCATGCTCTCTCCTGCACAGCCTGCTGCCACTGCAAGGGGAATTGCCCTTTCCCAACCCCTCCCCAGTGCAGGTGAACATCCCAGCCCAAGGCACAGGAGAGGGAAGGTTGGCCTGGGCAGACCCTCGTGTCCAGGGCTGTCCCATGGGTGACATGTCCAGAGCTGTCCCGTGGGTGACATGTCCAGAGCTGCCCCATGGGTGACATGTCCAGGGCTGCCCCATGGATGACATGTCCAGGGCTGTCCCGTGGGTGACATGTTCAGAGCTGCCTGTTGGTGACATGTCCAGGGCTGCCCCGTGGGTGCCATGCCCAGGACTGTCCCGTGGGTGCCATGCTCAGGGCTGTCCCGTGGGTGCCATGCCCAGGGCTGCCCTGTGGGTGCCATGCTCAGGACTGTCCCATGGGTGCCATGCCCAGGGCTGCCCCATGGGTGCCATGCTCAGGACTGTCCTGTGGGTGCCATGCCCAGGGCTGTCCCGTGGGTGCCATGCCCAGGGCTGCCCATGGGTGCCATGCCCAGGGCTGCCCATGGGTGCCATGCTCAGGACTGTCCCGTGGGTGCCCTGCCAGCCCCAGCAGCAACAGGGCTGTTGTGTAACCCGTCACGCGGAGGCTGCTGGCGTGGGAGCAGCGCTTCACCTCAGAGCTGACACTGGGCTGCTCTCAGCTCTGCACACGAGTGATTCGGGGTGAACTGCAGCAGTCTGCTGGGCTAACTGAGATCCTTCTCTGGTCCTGGAGAAAAATCCTCCCTGGAACCAGGCACTTAGGTTGGTTTGGGACTTCTGAAGGGTTTCCTGCCCTCAGTTTTGCACTCTCACCCACTAATGGACAGGAGTAGACAAAGGGCAAAAAGAGAACATACTGAGGGAAAGAAAAAGAGGCATGCAGCCTTCTCAGACAAAAACTCCTCCACGAACAGGAAAATTATCTAGTCCTACCACATAGAGAAGTGATGGAGAGAAAACAAGGAACAAGCACATTTTCTTTTTTCTGCTATCCCATTTGATACCACATAATCTGTCATTAGATTATCAAAGCAGTTTTATTAAATTAAAAGCAAAAATTAGACCTTCAATGTCCCTGAGAAGGGAACCCAGACCAACCTATTCCCCACACCAGACTGGAAGACAGACACTAGACATGTGAAATGGGAGACTTTGTCCCAAAGCCTGGAGCAAGTTTGGCTCCCTCTGTGCTCTCTGCTAGGGATCTGTCACCTCCCTGCCTGCCTGCAGCAGTGCCCCTGCCTGCACAGCTCTTGTGCCCTGCCCTTCTCAGTGTGCCTTGTGCCCATGTGAAAACGTGGTCAGTGCCACGTCATGTCTGAATCTGGTCAATTAGAGCCTGCTGAGCCCCAAGACCTGGTAGCTGTAGGCAGGCAAGATGGGGGAGTGATGGCAACACGTTTCCACGCTTAAGAGGTGCCAGAAGATGTTTCTGCTTGGACAAAGCCGGGTGGGGATAACGGTGAGGGAGGATGGAGTCTGGATGTAGAAGGCCAGTCGTGAGCCAACACCACAGGGCATGGTGGGCAGGTTGATGTATTTGTGGCTTTTCTGGCATTTATTAGTCTCCTCTGCAGCAGGGAGGAGGGAGGTACCAGCCCTGCCCCTTGCTCTCTGCCCAGACTTTCTCCACTTCATTTGACTTTACCTCTGAAAGGTGCCACACCCTTGTGCCAACACTCCCACAGTAGCAGGAAGGGATCAGGCTTCAGCTGGATGTCCGTGGGAGATCCAGAGAATCCAGTGGAGATGGGCTCCACAGGAAAGAACTGAACAAACTGGGAAACAGATTGAAGGCAGGATCTGGTAGATCCAGCCGGTCTTGGGTGAATTGTGATCATCTCTCTGTTGGCTCCAACTATGATTTGCATTGAGGGCTGTGGATGCTCTTCCCTGCCTTCCCAAACTGGAAGAGGAGGACAGCTGTGACAACCTGGAGGCAGTGCAAAACGAGACAGGCCTTTACACAGCAGTGTGTGAAGAAGGTGGGTGAGGCTGGGGCTGAGGAAGGATGGATGAAGGCAGTGGTTACCTGCAGCAAGAGGGGGGACTGAGATCAATCACTGGCCAAAGTTATTCCCTGCAAAGGCCCAGGAAGGTTCATGACATTGTTTATGAGCCTGTAGCACTTTGGGTTTGATTGGAAAAGACGGTGCAATTACAGCACTGGTTCCATGGGATCAGCCTCCACCAGAGGAATCACAGCCTGGAGCTCTGCTGGCTGAGGTAGGACATCCACTCTTTGACGGGGGGGTTCCCCACAGCCACCAGCTTTTTCAGAAAGGCACTGGGCCGCAGCCCAGGGACATCGGGATGGGCCTCGGAGTATTTGTGCAGCTGGGCCAGCACGCGGGGGAGCCCCACGGTGGAGGCGTAGAACATGGGGCCGCCCCTGTGCTTTGGCCACCCGTAGCCATTGATGTAAATCACATCCAGGTGCTCCGGGCCTGACGCTATTCCCTCAGCCAGGATGGCAAAGCCTTCGTTGATGAGGGAAAACAGACACCGCTCCAGGATTTCCTCCTGGTCTATGAAGCGGGGCTCGATGCCGTGGGTGTCCCTGTACTGGGCCAGGAGATTGTGGAGCCACGGGTCAGGCGTGGCTGTCCTGCCCCCGGCCTTCTCGTACTGGTACCAGCCCTTGCCGGTTTTCTGGCCGAAGCGGCCGCTCTCGCACAGCAGGTCTGGCAGGGGGCTGTACCGCTGGCCCTGCCGCTGCCGCGCCGGCGTCCCCGCGGGCACCGAGGGCCCCGTGAGGCCCTGGCCCTGCCGCGACCTCCAGCCCACATCCAGCCCGGCCAGGTCGGACATGCGGAACGGTCCTATCTTAAACCCGAAATCTTCAAGGACCCGATCCACCGTTTCCGGTCTGCTTCCTTCCTCTAAAAGGAAAACTGCCTGTTGTACGTACGGGAACATCATTCGATTCCCAACAAACCCAAAGCAATTCCCTACCACCACTCCAACCTTTCTGAGTGCTTTGGCCAGCTGCATGGCAGTGGCGATGGCCGTGGGGGACGTGTGGCGGCCATAGATTATTTCCAGCAGCCTCATCACGTGGGCAGGGGAGAAGAAGTGGGTGCCAATGACCTGCTGTGGGCGGCTGGTGGCAGAAGCTATTTCGTCGATGTTCAGGGCTGATGTATTTGTGCACAGCAAGGCCCCTGGCTTGCAGATCCTTGAGAGCTTGTGGAATATTTCCTTCTTTAGCGCCATGTTCTCAAACACAGCCTCAATGATGAGATCCACATCACGCAACGAATCAAAGTCCACAGTGAACTGGAGACGTGCAGGGTTATGGAAATCCAGGGTCTGGGCACCCAGCTCCATTTTCATCGCCTCACGTTCCAAAAGGAGCATCACAGCTTTTCTTCCCCTGTTCAGATACTCCAGATCCTGCTCCAGGGCTACTACAGGTATGTTGGCCTTAACCAGAGAAGTCACAATGCCTCTGCCCATCGTTCCCAGCCCTAGGGATAAAAGTGAGATAGAATCAAAGACTATGAATGGAAAATTAATCACTTGACAGTATAATTTCCTTTGTATCTCCAGGATAAAAAGTGATAGCCTCTGCAAAACAAGTGGTGCACACACAGAAAAAAGAATTGAAGACTGGAAAACAGAAGGGGAATTCTCTCTTTCAGTGAGCCCTAATGTTTGAAAAGCAGCAGCACAAAGGCAAGTTAGTGTCCTCACAAGCTCACAAAAGTCCAGTGGGATTCACCCAGTGGGCACAGACCATTTGATTCATGTCTTCTCCCTGCAAAGTTTTATACCTATGGAAACCAGCATCACTTGAGTGAGAACCTGGAGATCAAAGAGAGAAAATCTGAGTTCCAGCTGCAACCCTGCTCCCATCTTCTGCAGGCAGGTTCAAAGTGAGCTTCCCCCCGAGGCTGTCAGTGTCCCACTGCTCCTGTGAGATGGTCTGTTTTGGGCAGCATGCAAATACTTTGCTCGTAAGATTTTGACACCAGCAAAGCTCAGACAGTTGGGTTCTCCCTCCTTCTCCCTACTTTCCCCTTTGTCTCCCTCCTCTTCTCCCTCCACACTTCATCATGTAATCTTTGGAGCAAAGAAAATTCAGCTGCTCTTTCTGTAAAGACTCTTGGACTCTGATCTGCTCTAAACTCTGTCTCTAATGTCTTGTGTGTCTCTCGTTGCCAGGACAAACAGGATGGAAGTGACACAGCATTCCTAATATCCAGAATTCAACACCTTCTCTCTCCTTTGAAAGCACTCTGGCACATCAGTAGCCTTTTGCCTGCTGTTCACACTTTATATCAGGCATCTCTACCCACTCTCCAAGTCCTCCAACACAGGTCATTCCTAACTTCTGGAGATTCCCAAAGTCACAGTCCTCCTTGTCCAACCACACAGTTCAAGAATTCCTGTTAAAGAATTTATGCTGTGCTTTTTTTTTCTCCAAGACCATAAATGTGCCACCACCATCAGGAATACCAGTGTGGAGATTACTGGCTTGATCCCTTCCACCAGCTCTGCCCTCTGGGACATCAAATGAAGCTGCACACTTACCCTTTCCTGTGACACACAGCCCACACCCCTGAGCCTGCTCTCCCACCATGGAGGCTTTTCCAGCTAAGTTAATGCAAACTAGTAAGAGAAGGTCAGCCCGTTTTACCAGCTTTAGAAGTGTGAAGCATCTGAATGGGAGGATTATTAATATCCTAAATAAAGCACCAACCAGACAAAGCAGAGGTTTGTTATAATTCTGTTAAAATGATTTTTTTAATCCCAGGTTTACAAATGAAAGTCAGCTAAACAAATACACAGAAAAAAAGGGATTAAAAAATTTGCCTAATGCAGCTTTGTAAAGAAAAGCTGAAATGATGTCATCCTTTAAAGAAGTTCCAACAACCAAGGTCAAGCAAGGTAGGACGTTTTTTCTGCGTGCTACACACCCTTGGTATAGTTCTGCCCAGCCTCAGCTTGTGTGCACACAAGACATTTCAAACATTCCCTACTCAGCCACCAGAAGACAGCTTTTACTGACATCACTAGCTGGCAGCCTGCTTATAAACCATCATTACCACTTCTAAGCAAGTGCTGAATTTCCTTTCTAGGAAATTAGATTTGCTACTTAATAATCAAGTTCTACTGAAAACTAATTTGAAAATAAAACTAGAATAACATGAAGCAGCTCTTAGTACTTCAGTGTCCACGGTTTGCTGACTGAGAAAACCCAAGCACAAGTAGCTCCTCCCATTGTGCACAGTCCCCAGAGCCTTGGATGTGGGAGCAGGTACAGCTAAGGACAGTTTTTCCCTGTCTTTGGTGAGCTACAGGAACTGTTCTCTTCTTGAGCAGTGCAGGAGGGTAACTCACTCCCCAAGCCCAGCCCTGTCTATAAGGCGTCTTTAGACATCAGGCTTAAGTGTTTGCAGTTCCACACGGCTCCCTCTTCAGTCTCTTCCTTTCCAGGGTGGAGTCCTGGGGTTTCCCCTAGAATTTCCAAGCTCTTCACATATCCTGGGTCTTACTGACTCCTGTTCCTCTCAGGTTCAGCCTTGTGACTGAAATCTTAGCAGTTCTCTCTCCATCTGAGCACGCTTCCTGAATCCAAACCTCTCCCATGAGCAGACGTTCTCCAGCCTTCTTTCGCAGGGAAGCTCTGCGGTGGTGCGAGGTGATCCCCCTCTTTGCTTTCATCAGGAGTGCTCCCACGTGGGTTTGAGCCATCCCATGATGGACAGGCACACATGCTTGTAGTACTACACTTTCTAGGCCACAGGCACAGACTTACGGATAAGATATGAGCTTGCCAAGCTTGTTTCTGACCTAGAAAAGCTGTCTCTCAACTTCCTCCAGAACTCTGCAGTGGCCTGTATGAAATGATGTTTAATGAAGCTGGCAGAGAGAGTAATGAAAGCCCCAAGGGGTTTGTTACATTAGAGCTTGCACAGCATGATTCCCCTGGAGGTATTTTCTAAAATTGGGCTATAAAACTAAGGAGAGCTCTGGCTATCCAGCAGGGAAAGAGCATTTCTGAGGACTCCCCTTTTCCGTTTCATAAAGCCAAGTGATCTTGGGGAAGAATATACTAGAGCAGAAAATAATGGTAGGGAATCTTTGGGTCTTACATGTGAGAAGGCTGTAGAAGAAGGAGGAAGGGAGATGTCTCATGCTCAGCTCAGATCACACGGACCAAAACACGGTGAGGAACTACTCCAGAATTTCTACTGTGTGTTCTATTTTCTTACTCAATAGTGCTCTCACTTCCCCCAAACCATGACAAACCCTATATTCTCATCTTGCAGGCAGGGGACTGTTTTCATGTCCAAGGCACATCTTCCCAAAAAAGACTGAAATCTGCTTCAGGAACAAGAACAGTGCCCAGCCATCCTGCTCCTGGTCTTTTGTTGTGAAATGAAGCTTTGACATATAAATAAAACTATACTTGAACACATGTAATTTCAGGCCAAATATGGGTATGACAAATCCATTTGCTGGGCAAGCTGAGTGAATAATGATGGTTAATTATTGATCTGTCACGAGGTACTCAGAATACGAAAAATCACACGGAATTAATTGAAGGACTTTAAAAACAAATTTCAAAACAAAAGAACTTGAAATATGTACAAGGCAACTTGTGTAGTCACAAGCACTACAGAAATACAGATCAGTGGAAAACATTCTGAACTCTAATGAATATTTGGACTTTAAAATGCCTGGCAGTGGAAAAGATCCTTTATAGATCGGTAAAAATATGCAAGGACTGTTCCAGTTTTCCTGTTAAAAACAACAATGAGCAATTGGTGGTGGCGGGCTGCTGCAGACTGGAGCTGCTGCTTTCTCTGTTTCAGGGAACTAATTTCAAGCAGAAGTAACGTGATACTCCAGGCAGGCAGGGAGCTATGGGGAGATGCAGTTGGAAGGGACAGAGAGAAGAACTCTTTTCCTGGATGATGAGGAGCCAGAGACAGTGAAAAGAGGTGGGAGCCAAGAGTTCAGAACAAGCAAATGAAACAAAAAGTCAACATGAAAAACTCAACACGATCTTCTCACTTGCTTCACATCGTGCAGCAATAAAAGATGGAAGCAGCAGCACAGTGCAACATGGGTGTAGTGTGTGAAACAGCACAGCACAGTTGCAAAACGAGGTTTGCTTGATTTCTGACAGCCTAAAGGGATGCAATATCTTTCTCTGACTGTCCTCCTCCCTGCACTGAAAATAGAGAGACCCTGGGTCACCTCGGTAGACTCAATGCCTGCATGGATGAGCAGCACTGTTTTAAAAGTTGCCAGTCTCTCAAAAACCATCCCTAAAATTTTGACTTCTGGTGCTGCAAGGATGTACTTAAGATCAAAAATTCGAACTTACACAATGCTGTAGAGCATTGCACTGGCTGGAGAATGACTTTTTGTTACAGCTGCCTGAAAGAAAAATTACAGTTGTGTTGGCATGTTCTCCACCTGTCTCTAACAGCCTTGCCATTTCACTGATATCAAAAGGCAAAATAGGAGGAAAACCTTCTAGAGGAAGGAGAAGAAACACAACAAATGGCAGAAAGAAGTGATGGAAATCAGTGACATTTTGGTGTGGGATTCAGGGTTTAAAAAAGGTGATCAAGAACCTCCGAAATAGGAGCTGTCACATCAAATGAAATATGACATCAACAAGAGCATAAACAAAGCAAGTTATACTGGTGGGCTATGGGGGCTGAGTGATAGGAGCAGTGACTCAGCAAAGGTGTCTGGGTCAGTGTCATGGCCCTGAGTGCACTGATGAGCTTTAATGTCCCCGAGCAGCCACACCTGGAGCCTCCCCCCACCTACATGGGCCTCTGAGCCCCATTTGAGCTCAGACCTGAGCCTGCACTCCTTTCCTAAGCCAAGATGGAGGAGTTCTGGTGGGTTACTGTGGCTGTGCCAGGCTATGGGCGCTGTTGATCCAGACCTCAGCCTGAAGAGTGGCTTCCCACCTTTACCTTGGACCTGCATCATCCTGGGAACTTTGCTTGATCACCTGCACTTCCAGTGGGTCCTGGCCGTGATCTCTGGGCCTGCCCTGCTTGCTGTGCTCAGGTACTGTAAATATTGATGCAGCAGTGGGTTGTGCTGCCATCCAGGGGGAGAAATGGGTGGGTAGGAGCCTCAGGAAGCTCAGCATGGGGAATTGCTAAAGGCCAGCATGCAAGGAGCAGCAGTCTTGTGCACCAGCACATGCTGGGGGCTGGAAAGCAGCTCCCCAGGAAAGGGTCTGGGGGTGCTGGTTGGCACCAGGTTGAGTCTGAGCAGTGATATGACCTTGTGGCAGAGAAGGTTAATGGTATGTGGAGCTGTGTTAGGAGGGGTCTTGCTGGCAGCTTGAAGGAGATGATCCTGCCCCTCTACTCAGCACTGATGAGACCATCCCTGGAGTGCTGGGTCCAGCTCTGGGCTCCCCAGCATGAGAGTGATGTGGAGTGAGTTCAGTGAAGGGCCAGTAAGGTGATTAAGGGACTGCAGTGTGTCCCATGAGGAAGGGCTGAGGGCGCTGTGACTCCAGCTTGGAGGGATGTCACCAATATAAGTAGCTGAGAGAAAGGTGTAAAGAAGATGGAGTCAGACTTGTGGCCACTGGTGATAGGCACAAACTGAAACATGGGAGTTCCATCTGAACATAAGAGAACAATTTGTTTACTGAGGAGTTGACTGAGCACTGGCACAGGTTGCCCACAGAGGTTGTGGAATCTTTATCATTGGAGATGTTCAAAAGATGTCTGGGCATGGTCTTGGGCAAGTGGCTCCAGGTGATGTCATCTGAGGACAAGATGACATTCAGAGATCCCTTCCTGCCTCACAGATTCTGTGGTTCTGCTCTCCAGGAGGTGTTATTGCCACTGGCTCCCCATCCCCGGGGTGTAGCTGCTCCCTGCCAGCAGGTAATTAACAGGATGTGTTGAACGTGGTGAGTATGAAAGTTGGCTCTTACCCTGAGCATACTAAGTAGGAGCAAGGAAGAAACATCTTGGTACCTGGTCTTGGTGTAATTACTCCTGGAATGCTGTTCCCACTTTGGCTACGCATGTTTTAGGAAGTGTTGAAAAATTAGGGGAAGTTCAAGGTCATGACAATGACCAGAATGTGACAGACTGTGCTCTGCAGCAGAAGTATGAAAGCACTTAGTTCATTCATTCTGCAGAAATATGGTTAACTTGAGCTTTGTTGGGGATCATCTATGAAAACATTGAAACTTGGGCATGAGGTTGGGGCAATTTCAGACCAGAATTCAGAAACCTGTCCAGAGATGAGGCAAATATTTAATCCAATGGATGGGAGATGCAGCCCAGCCAGTTCAGTTTGGAAATGAGATACAGGTTACGTTTCTCCTGGAAACTTTCAAATAGAGGTTGCAATTTGTCCTCAGACTTCTCTGTAGCTCAGTTACAGCACCAAAATAGGCAGATCAGATCTAACAGCCCTTCTGGCTAAACTGTCACAGCGATTAGGCCTTTGCAAGTGTGTTGTTCTGGCTGGTTTATCAGTACAGAGCAAAGAATGTCCGTTCCCGTCAGCCCGGCATTCCTACAAACTCCAACACGAGCCCCTCCTGGCAGAGCACACATGTCAGGATGGGACCTGCCTGTGTCCAAAGTTCTGTGCTCTCCAAGTCACAGAATACACTTGGCAATAATTAATGCCTCTTTACCTGAATGCTTTAACAGCCACAGATCCTCCTCCCAGGATTTATGGACCAGTGTTTAAAAATTACTCTTATTAAAAATATGGCATGGCAGCCAATGAAGAGAAGGGAACTTCCAAAAAACCCCAGTCTTATGGCTGAAATGAACTGTCAGACAGCTCAATAGCTCTGAGAAGCACCCAGAAAAGAGTAGTGTTGATCTGGTGAGATTTCCTTGAAGCAGAGTGGATGTTTTCCAAGTGCTCCATTACTTGTCTAACCATTTTTTAGTGCTACTATCAACAGGCAGAGCTGAAAGATTTTTTTTTTTAATCTCAGCAGTGCATCAAAGGTTTTATTTAAATTGCTCTTATAAAAAATTAATGAAGGCATTATCTTGCTGGGCTACAAAATGGCAGGAGTGGATCCCAGTGAGATGAAATCTTCTTAAAATACAGCTGTCAAAACATTTTTTGTATTAATATATCCCTGAGTGACTCTGCACATGCACTTGCAGTGCAGAACTAGACCAGGAGGAGGAGAATTTCATACAAACGTGCTTCTAACACAACGCAAAGCCAGGACAGAGTGTTTAAAAGGGAGCAGACTCCTTGTGGTCCACACACACGAAACTGTCTCTGAAGTGAGAGGAAGTTATTCTTCCAAAGAAAGATGTGGCAGCAGGTAATAATGTAGTGGGATATGAGATGCCATGTGAATTTCTGAGCTTGCCAATGCAGTGACAACTTCCCTCCTTGGGTGGAGTATCTGTGCTTGTGGTGGGTGTGACTCTGGGAATCCCACTCCTGCCTTCTGTGATCCCCCTCAGCTCTGCTGTTCCCTGGTGCCCCACAAATCACTGATCCCCTTAGCTGTGCTGTTCTCTGTGCTGAGCCCCACAGATCACAGTGATCCCCCTCAGCTCTGCTGTTCCCTGTGCTCACCCCACAGATCAATGATCCCCCTCAGCTCTGCTGTTCCCTGTGCTCACCCCACAGATCACAGTGATCCCCCTCAGCTCTGCTGTTCTCTCTGCTCACCCCACAGATCAATGATCCCCCTCAGCTGTGCTGTTCCCCCACACATCACAGTGATTCCCCTCAGCTCTGCTGTTCCCTGGTGCCCCACAAATCACTGATCCCCCTCAGCTCTGCTGTTCCCCCACACATCACAGTGATTCCCCTCAGCTGTGCTGTTCCCTGGTGCCCCACAGATCAGTGATCCCCCTCAGCTCTGCTGTCCCTCTGTTCAGCGCCACAGATCACAGTGATCCCCCTCAGCTCTGCTCCTCCATGGTGCCCCACAGATGAGTGATCCCTCTCAGCTCTGCTCCTCCCTGGTGCCCCACAGATCAGTGATCCCCCTCAGCTCTGCTCCTCCCTGGTGCCCCACAGATCAGTGATCCCCCTCAGCTCTGCTCCTCCCTGGTGCCCCACAGCCGCTGTTCCGTGCCAGCCCCCCAGCCCTGTCCCCCGCTCACCGATCACGGCCGCAGAGCGGACGGGCTGTGGGGTCGCGCTGCTCCAGGAGGCCCCGCCGGGAGTTGTCCATTTCTGCGCGGCTCTCTCGGCAAGGAACGCGTACTGCAGGGCCCGGGCCTGGCCCGAGCTCAGCAGGACCATGAACAGCTCTCGCTCCCTGCGCACCCCGTCGGCGAAGGGCATCTGGGTGGCGGCCCTGACGGCCTGGAAGCACAGCTCCGGAGCCAGGCACCCCTGCGCCTGCTTCTTCACCCTCACACGGGCCGCGCTGAGAAAGGCCTCCATGTCGGGCAGCTTGGGGACCGGCTTCAGGCTGAGCCTGCGGGGTCCCAGGGGCTGGCCTGGGGGGAGAGGAACGGGGTTACAGGACAAAGCATCCACATCTTTTCAGACATTGTCTTTCCACCCCATCCCACAGGATGGGAAGGCAGTTTACCTGTTTTTCCCTCTGCATCTCACTGCATTAGGGCTTGCATGGCACAGTGAGATGGGTCTAGAACTACAACATCTGACATTTCTTCTTACCTCTG